TTTCTTTTCTCTTCCTTAGCTGTCCAATGCAAGCCATTAAATTTTCCTACCCATGGAAACTTCAGTTGCTCTCACATCCATGGAGAGTTTCAGTACCAGTCCAGTTGCAAGTTTACATGCGCAGAAGGCTTTCAGATCAGTGGAGCAGATACCACTGTATGTGAAAAATCAGGACAATGGAGTTCCCTGGAGCCAACCTGCCAAGGTTCAGAGTTTTCCCTCTTTTTAAATCCCATTGTAGAATTCCTCCCAAAGAGCTCTGGGGTTAGTTAAGAGCCTAAAAAAGATGCTCTTATTTACCTACATATTTAGATGCATTTATGTAATTACTTTTTTTGGCATATAATTTTCAGAAGCTTGCAAGTCCATACTATTTTTGTTAGGCATCATGAATTTATGGTTGTCCCCATATCACTGGCCTTGTTCCATCAGCCTGACATGCAGAGATGAAGTCGGTTAAGCTTTTCTTGCAAAGTGATGAGAGGACAGGGAAAGTCTCAGCCGCTTAACTGTTATGTGTCAGACAAGGAAGAGTGGAAGAAGCAGAAGGAAGAAGGTTGCAGACTGAGAAGATGAGAGGCCACAAGAGTGGGAGAGATGAGGAAGAGGGAGAGCCTAGGGAGATGAGAAAAACGAGAATGGGGAACAGTAGCCATTCTGCTGGACATGAGAAGCTGGGAATTTTAGTACAACAAGCTAGCTTTTCCCATTTCTGGAATAGCATGTATGGGAAAGGAAAATAGAAATAAAGAGAGAGAGAGAGAGAGAACCTAGAAAGCATGCATGTGCATATGTGTGCATATGAGTGCACATGCATAACTGATCTGAAATGATCACTCACATTTTTGGCTGCAGGTCTCCATAATACTCCAAAGCAGCTGTTTTCAAATTTGAAAAATATTACCTTTAAAAAATCTCAGAGTTGAAGAAGTGATTTTATATTTCTCATCATTAGCTCTGCTGAACATAATCTAGGCATCAGCATAAGTGAACATATTTGGCTGGCTGACAAGATTAGTCATCAATGTCCAGAATCATATTGTGTATCTTCTGCTAATGTAGTGTGAATGGAATTAACTTTCAGCAGCAAATTGCTGCAAGTGATGAAGTACAAGTAGGCACTTCCTATTGCC